GTCCCTGACATTGAAAATCAATAGAAATGGTCCTTGACATTGATCAAACACATCACAAATGGTCCTTCCGTTAAAAACTCTTTGGGCAATTTTCAAAGCTTCGTAACTCAATCGTTTCTTAACCAAATTCGACCCATAATATATCAAAATGAAGATAGGAAAGTGTAGAACAAGATTATACTATTTTTAAGCCCAATGATTGCCGGAGATGGCTGAAAATTATCCTCAAATGTGATTGATCCGCAGAAAAACTGGAAAACTCGCCGGAAACTGGGTAAATTTAAACGTTCATAACTTCTTTAATAATTAATGAAATCGAGTGATTCAAAAATGAAAATCATACTTCTCGACGAGGCGAAGAGAATGATATCTTTCTTGAGGGCTAACTCGCCATAGTTTGGCCGAAAAAACGGCTCGGAATTGGCTAACTCGAAAATGGTTATCCAATTTCTAGCCATTTTCTGGTCAAACCATGGTGAATTAGCAGTCAATGAAGGTACCATTCTCTTTGTCACGTTGATAACTATGATTTTCATTTTTAAATCACTCAATTTTGTTGAGTATTGAAGAAGTTATGAATGTTTAAAGTTTACCCAATTTCCGGCGAGTTTTTCAGTTTTTCCGCGAACCAGTCACATTTGAGGCTATTTTCTGGCCATCTCCGGTAACCATTGGGCTTCCAAATAGGTATAATCTTGTTCTACACTTTCCTATCTTCATTTTGATATATCATGGGTCGAATTTGGTTAAGAAACGATTGAGTTACGAAGTTTTGAAAATTGCCCAAAGAGTTTTTAACGGAAGGACCATTTGTGATGTGTTTGATCAATGTTAGTGACCATTTCTATTGATTTTCAATGTCAGGGATCAAAATGATGTGTTTGATCAATGTCAGGGACTATTTGTGATAATAACCCTAACAGAAACTAACTAAATCGCATATATATTGAAAAAAAATTTACTTTTGAATACAAGCAATTTTAATTTCCACTATGATTTAAACTCGTGACACAATAGATTGAAGAAAATAACTCTAATCACCAGAGCAATACTTGTGCATATGCATGATCATAATTGATAACAACCAAAATTATGTTAGTGGGTTAACTTGAAACCTAATAGTCTAATGATTTTGGCCTTTTTGCCATTCATGAGATGTTAGGTAGCAGGCAACTAGTATATATGATTGGATCCTTCCCCCCCCCCCCCCCCCCCCACCCAAAAAAATCATATTCTCTAATGGATGAGGATCTCTTCGGATCCTCTTTGCAAGATTATAAAGATCTTCACATTTTAGCCGTTTATCGTAAATCGTACGGTTAGTTTTCGTTAAGTATTATTTTTGTTTAATTTTAAATAAAAAAAATTCAAATAATTTCTGACTGCATGATGTACAGTAAATGATTAAGATATGAGGATTCCTAGAATTCTTACAATTTGGATCCGGATAGAATCCAAATCCTTCTCTAATATCGTTCAATATAAAAAATAAGGGTTTGACATGAGTGGGGTTGGCTTTTGGCCTTTTTGCCTGGGATGATGGCGGTGAAGCTTCCACTGCAGCAGCAAAAATGGAAGACAAGAAAGTAGAAAAGAAGGCAAGATTTTTAGGGGACGGCCTAGATTTTACGCGTGCCCTAATTCTAGCTTATTACTTCTCGAATCTCACATTCACCATAACATAAACACCTTATCGACTCTTTTTCCAGAAACATTGTATCAAAAGGTTTATATTTAGGGTTTATAGCTTTGTAGATAGATTAGATAGATGGACAAACACAAAGGACAAACAGAACACCGTGGCACTTTTACCAACCTCACCCTTCCAAGTTAACTCTCATTATGGTTAACAATACTGGCTTAGTTTCAAATGTTTTGTTCTAAAATCTGGAAGTTGGGTTTTTCAGTCAAATGTTCTTAGTGAAATGCTTTGATCGAGAAGCATGCGTTCCTTAAGATAATCATGTTCTTAAACACTAATCTGTTGAGAGAGCATGAGAATGTCACATAGAAGGATGAAAGTTTAATATACGATCTTAAAAGTTTTAAGCTTCTCCACCCGTCGCTATATGATTTTGCATTGGATATTTTCATTCAAACATGGTATCATAGTCAAGATTGTACAGGTTCACGTCTCACCTATTAAGAATTGTCTACATGTTAGACTCAAAAGATGTCATGGGCAATTGAATATATTTTATGTAAGGATGTGGAGTGTTGTTTGGCGTAAAAAAGTTATGAGTGACTTTGGGTTCCTTTTGACCCCAAAATAGTTCATTCTATATCATCATGCAACCATCATTCTGTATATAAAATTCTGATTCAGCCAATGCATGTGCATGATTATAAAGAATAAAATATTTTGACAAATACAAGTCTAGTATAAAAGTTTAAAAGAGATTTTGAACTTGTCTAACCATTACCTAGGTTAGGAACTCTCTGTTCTAGCAAATATTATTCATCTGCATAAGCAGAAAGAGGGGCAAAAGTTGCTTCCAAAGGAGACATGTTCGAGATGATGATGATCGTGGGTTGGCACTTACCCAGCCAAATGCGAACCCTAGTGCTTATGCCAACCCAGCAAAAATCCTAGTGCGGTATTACCAGGATTAAACAAATTAAATAAACCCATGATCTATCCAAATTTGGTATACATCCTGATGATCATATATATTATCACAGTCATCACTCACTGACCTGTTACCTGCATAGCCTATCCACTAATGAGCTAGATTACTTAGTTTGGCACTAACTAATTAAAGAGTCCTAGGAGTTAGATAGAAGACCACATTCACAGACAGCAGTCAGCAAACTATTGTGCCAAGTACAAACAGACAAATATTTTACTCGTGAATGTGAACATCATCGGGAATTGTTGAAAGTGCGCAACACAATTTGGCCACACTGCTCTTCGATCTTGACTAGCAATTACCAAATCATATATTATATACTATTCAAAATCTTGAGAGATCAAACCATGCATGCTCGAAGACTTTTCTTGGGATTTTGTCACAAACGTCTGAATTAAATGGATCATGAACCATTATCCTCGTTTTGAAGTAATCAATAAGGTTCTAAATATTACCGTTCCTAGTTTAACTTTTATTTATTTATTTATTTATTTTTTACTTATTGAAATAGATCTCGAGTTTGAATCTTCTTTTTTTGCAAAAAAACAAAAAACAAAAACAAAAAAATACAAAAATACAAAATTTGATAAGATTAATAGCATGCATACACTCCATGATAAGATTCATTCTATTTGATTATTGGCTTTGTTTGATTAATTAGTTGCTCATGGTTATGTCTATTTGCTCCTCTTAGAATTGATTGATCCACTTATTTTCAAAACCCTCCTCTAGCTACTAGCTAGGGTTTCTTTGATCTACACTTTGTCGTGCCCTCGTTTATCAATGAAACTTATATATGTTCATTCGCAAAAAAGAATAACATGTGTTACGTAAATCAGTTCCTCTTTTCTTCTTGACAGTTCAAACTTACAAACTCCAAATACAAAAATAAATCGCATGCAAATCTCATGGAGTATATATCATGCTTATAACCATTGTTCAAACCTTCTCATTCAACATAATCCCCGTGTAGGGACAAACCCCAAAGTACAAAACTTCACCTACACTTTTGATCACTCCCAGAATTTGATAGCCTGCTATCAAATGAGAAGTGCGTTTCTAAAATTTTCAATATATATTTCGAACCCTAAAGCAAAAGATGAAGCAAACCAAGTGACTGGAAAAAGGGGGATGTAGTTGCTTATGACAGGAGGCACATGACATAACAAAATCCAATATGTCTCCTCTTCTCTTTTACCTTTTTGGCTGGTCATGAGTTGTCTGTCCCTCCTGAACTTCAATTTTTGGTGGCTTTATTGTCGCTTTGTTTATGTTCCCACTCTGCACATCCTTAAAAGGAGGTTTACGATTTCCCCACCCTATTTGACTGAGCTGTGATCAGTCTTTAGGGTCAACCAAACTCTGTATCTTTGTCAGTCTGCTGCGATCAAAACCGTCCAATCCAAATCAGACAAAGTGTATATGACCTTTACCAGACACCAACTAAATTAACTATGATGCTTGGCCTTACTCACATGTCTTAATTATCTTGGACTTACTATATTAATTCTGGATTGTTTGGAAATGATTCTTTAAAAGGTACTTCTGCCAAGAAGTAGGACGAAATATTTAAGAAACATATGCAAGCGTTTTTTAAAAACACTTAAAAATACTTGCTAAAAAAGAACACATACATAATAAGTGTTATTCTAAAACGATTATTTTTTAGGAACTTTAACGAAAAATTCTTGGTATTGTTCACTTCAATGAAAAAACATATTTTTACACTAAAAAGTCAATCTTGGTACTATTCATTTTACCCTTTATTTTGTCTTTATCGTTAAAACTTAAAATTTTCAAGATATGTTCATTTGTTTTCCTTTATTTTTTTTAAAGCACTTTCAAACTTGCTCTTATGTACTGCTCCATAGCATGAGAATTATAAAATTGAAAAGCACAAAAACAAAAAACCGAAAAAATCTATACTGTGCATATGAACTCAAGAACTATATACAAACCCTAAAATTATATTTTAGTGAAAACTTTCATCTTGTCTGCTCGCCGACCAATGTTGAACATTGGCAGCTTTCGCGAATGTCCCTCTATTTCTAATTTCTCTCTCTCAGCACAAAAAACCGGGAAAAGATAATTAAAACCGAACAAATCCACATAATTATTCAATCTCAAATTCCCTAAAAACAACGGAGACAAATGTATAAACAAAGTGCTGATTTCAATAAATCAAAAACCTTTAAACAATAAAAGATGTAGCGCAAAAAAATTATAATAATAAAAAAACCAATGGATCCACTTTAGGGTATTATATATGCACACGGGTTCACACTGTTTTGAGTGTAGAGGCTCAGAAAAAAGAAGTTCCTGAGGCAGCAGCAAAGACCGGTTTTGCTTCTAGCCATTTGAAGCTGAAATATGGACGATGGCATGTCAGGGTTTTGCATTAAAGCATCGAGTTTTCGCAGTGGTGGTGACGGTGGTAATGGTAATAGTGGAACCAAGTGCGGGCGTTGGAATCCAACTATTGAACAGGTTAAAGTGCTGACTGACCTGTTTAGGTCTGGACTCCGAACGCCGAGCACTGATCAGATTCAGAAAATCTCCTCTCAGCTAAGCTTTTATGGAAAGATCGAGAGCAAGAACGTCTTTTACTGGTTTCAGAATCACAAAGCCAGAGAAAGACAAAAGCGGCGTAAAGTTTCTATTGATGACAAGGATATCATTCGTCGAGATCAGGAGAACAAGCCGTCTCCAAAACGTACGTTAATTAATCATTAGCTGTTAAAATTTTATCTTTTTTGATGTTCTTCACTTCAGGGTTTTCTAGTATGCACCGGAAGTCTTGGCCGCACATCTGATCATGAGTGTTCAAACTCTCGGTTAATATTTTTCTTTGCTGAAATCGTGGTTTTATGTTCCGTTCATTGCAGAAATAAATCAGGTGTCGGAGCCGGTGAGAGTGATTGAGACCCTTCAACTTTTCCCGATAAACTCTTTAAACGAATCTGAAGGAGAGAAGCTGAGATTTCATGCAAACGAATATTGCAAGGAGGCATCAGCTTTTACTTACACTGTTGGGACAGAAATGGACCTTCCACCTTTGGATCTGCGCTTAAGTTTCCATTAATTTACATGCTTCAAATTTATGAGAAAATGAACGAAAAAAAGAAGCTCCAGCTAGCTAGCTAGTAGCCATGGCTGCCATCTGTAGAATTTAGGGTTTAGCAGCTGGCATGAAGGGTGAACAGAAAGGTAAGGAGGGAGAGATAGAGGTTGAAAAGTTTACGCATTATTGACGCTAATTTGAGTTGTTGAATTAAAATATTGGAAATTCTTGGACATTCTTCTCTGCATGTGCACTTTCTTGTTGTTATTAATTTCTCTGTGATTTACTCTGTTGGGTTTCTTGTTTGTATGAATGGCTTGGAAATCGAAACTTTCTCTTGGCCACATGAGAAATGTCTCCTTGGGCTGCAAAATTGTGAATGGAATTGCTACACTTGGCCCTGGTCATATGACTCATATACCTTTTACTTACCTTGGTTTGCTTCCCCACTTGGCCACAGCCTCATTTTATCCTTATTAAGTAATGGCAACTACCAAAACTATTCTTAAATTTCATTTGGAGATTCTAAAACTGCTCTTTCATGCAGATCTGAGCATATTTGCATTGTTTTCTCGGATGTATTCTCTTTTATGCACTCGAGTTTGAATTCTTTCTTCACAATTTGAAGTAGATTAAAATATAATATTGTCAGTTTAGCAAAATTGGCCATTCATGAATAACTTAAAGCTCTCGGTTCTGGAATCTTATACATTGAAAGTAGTTTTGGAAGTTGTAATAATAAATAGTGATAGCATGTGAGTAATTTAACAAGAGGGATATTTGAGCTTAAAACCTATTTCAATATTGAAACAAGAAGTGTGACTCTTCTAGTTCAAATTAAAGGGGAGTGTATACAACTTGTTTACTTCTTATTTACCCATGACATTTCAAAGAGTGAAATTGTCGTATATACTATCTGTCATTTTATTTAGGGAAATTATAACCACACACTTTTTTTAACTTCTCTCACACCCCTATTTAATCTTGTCCATTGTTTTCGTTTGATTCATTTAATTCAATGATCAAAAGCAAAGAGAAGTACGTGAGAGACTAACAATGCGTGCGAAAATCATCATCATTTATTCATACGATTGAAGAACACTCTAGGTGGTCCGAACCACTTACAAGTGGAATTACAGATATGGCCTTATGCAAGAGGAATTATGGATATGGCCTAATAAGGCCATACAACCATACTCGGAAACCTGGAGTCCCCATGTTTAATTTGCTCACCTTGGCTCACCCAAATAGTCTTCCTGTGTGCCTTGCTTATGCCCCATAAGCCCGGGCGGACGTAAGAACCTCTACTCATGTAGGTACAAACTTCATTGCAAAGGTTCCGCTCTTTTGTAAATGAGTTGGACAATCTACCTAATGTGATTGTGGGTCGTAAGAATTTCACCCTACCATGGAATTGTTTTGAGAGGAGCATGTATGAGTACTCTGATGCAAGTGTCAGGGCCATAACAATAACATGAAAGAAAAAAAATTAAGGCTTCCGGCTAAAATGATTTGTTTTTAGCATGTCGTTGATAACTCATCTTTGTGTCGTTGAAATTAATGTACATATTTTTGGTATATAATCGTCGATATTTTAATTTTGATCTCCACAGAAACTGAGACTAATAGTAGAAAGTGACTCTTTTATAATCGAAACTAATTTTTATTTCAACATTACTTTAGCCAAAAGCCCAAAAAAAATAAAAGAAAAACTATTGAAAATGACATGAAAATTTTGAGTTTTAACGATAAGGACAAAATAAAGGGTAAAGTGATGGTACCAGGATTGACTTTTTAGTGTAAAAATGTGGTTTTTCGTTAAGTGAACAGTACCGAGAGCTTTTCGTTAAAGTTCTTAAAAAAAAAAGAAATAAAAACAATTTGCAAAGGGCCCAAAAGCAATGTAGTCCACCGTAATAAAGCCCATGAATCGTGGGCTCAGCTGTCACAACATGGGCTTTGGAGCCCAACTCATTGCTCCAAAAACAAACAAAAGTATTTCACATATAATATTACCAGGTTCAACCGAAAGGAGAGAGAACAGCCGAGCAAGCACGGAGCTTTTTACAGACAAATTATAGAGAGAGAGAGAGAGAGAGAGGTTTCCTGCCGAAGAAGCTAACTCAAAAATTGCCGCAAAAAAGCAGGAAAATTCAGAGAAAGCGGAAGAAATCCAGCAATGGATGTGATCAAAACGCAGCAAATCTCGTCGAGGCCGATCGAGAAGGTGATAGTTCACCCGCTGGTTCTGCTCAGCATCGTCGACAACTACAACAGGGTCGCCAAAGACAGTCGCAAGCGCGTCGTCGGAGTTCTGCTCGGCTCGTCGTTCAAGGGCACCGTCGACGTAACCAACAGCTACGCCGGTTCGTTTAATTCTCGCTCTTTTACTCCTTCTGCTTCTCGGCTCTGTGTGGATCTCGTTTGCTTTTATTTATTTTTAAATAATTTTTTTGAATTTTCGATTTTTTTTAATCTGATTAAGGAAGTTTTGAATTTGAATTTTGCTCCGGCTGTGGTGAATTATTGTTTGCTCAGTGAGAAAATTGGTCTTTAGGCTCTATATATTTGCTGCTTTGAGCTTGAAATTAAATTGGCTGAACAAATTTATCTTGCATTTGTATGCTGATACATGAATTAGTACTCACGTAATTTAGACCAAGTTTCAAAATTTAGATGTAGAAAAGGTAAAAATAATGCAATTTGATAATTCATATCGGTTTGAACTCGGAGGTACTGATGTCTTTGAAGCATAAATGTGCAAATATTTGTGCTTTATTTGCTTTCCGAATGCGTAGACCCGTGCAATTTGGAGATATATTAGTGTACGTACGGCACGATATGCTTTCTATTTCAGCTTCCTATTGCATTGTAGGTTCCTTCGTTGCTAGTCTCTATACATGCGTTCTTGTACTGTTTTGACTTCGAGTATTGCTTAATGGTTTTCCGAGAGATTGTGATGTAGCGTCAGCCTCGAATTACATGCTTTTACCCTTAAATTTAACTTGTTAGTTTGGTTTGTGCTCTTATTAACTAGAAGATTTCTTATTTTGCCTTTCCATGTTTTATTTTATAATTTTTATTCTAAAACCTTTTATGTTTCGAGTTCAAGCACATTACTTTTAACGCATGTAATACATGAATTTCTATTCACAGTGCCGTTTGAAGAAGATGACAAGGACCCAAGTATCTGGTTTCTTGATCACAACTACCACGAAGCCATGTATTCCATGGCGAAGAGAATAAATGGTACTGGTCAAGAATATATCTCTTATTTCCAATACATGCATTATATGTTATGATGAAAAGATTGACACATAATTTTTTCCAGCTAAGGAGCATGTTGTGGGATGGTACAGCACAGGTCCCAAATTGCGAGAAAATGACTTAGACATTCACGGTTTATTTTATGAGTAAGTTTATCATCTCTATGCAAACAGTGCTACTTGGACCTGAGATTCCATTAGGCTATGAATATCATGAATGCTTCCTATAAGTTATAAGAAGTCTGGTCAACAAAATTAATTTGAGGGACTTCATGGAGATAAACTGAGACGTGTAAGGTTCGTATTGCTCACACTGAGATTGGAGAAACTAAGTCCTCCATTGACTAAAACTAGAAGAAGCAAAAGGGCACTTCTTCCGGTTCTCCCCTTCTTTTTTATCTCTTTACTCCTCTTTGTGTTATACCATTTTGTTGGTGTAACTTGAAGTTTGGTAAAAACAGTAACTAAGATGGCTGGGATTATGGAAATTTTGAGGTTGTGCATCAGTTATCTGTAAACTATTGATGGTTGGTTACGAAGAAGCACTATACCTGTAGGTTGCATTTAATAAAACAGTTGAAATATTCTGGCATACTTATTTACTTTTTTATCTCTATCGTGGCGGAACATTAAATTTAGCATCCATCTACAGGCACATACTTCCCTTTCTTATACTTTCGTTAATATTTATCTTTTTTTCCCCCTATATCATGTTTTCCTTTTGATTTTCAGCTATGTTCCAAATCCTGTCTTGGTCATTATAGATGTCCAACCTAAGGAGCTGGGAATACCCACAAAAGCTTACTGTGCTGTTGAAGAGGTTAAAGAGGTAGAATCACAATTTTTTTACATTGCTTTTCTTAACTTGAAATCTGGTTTTAATGCTACAAACTTGATTTAACATTTCGGTATGGGTACAGAATGCTACCCAGAAAAGTCAGAAGGTGTTTGTTCATGTGCCTTCTGAAATTGCTGCCCATGAAGTTGAGGAAATTGGTATGCCCTCCTTTATTTTAACATTGATTGGAATGACTTCTAACTTATTGCACTCACATTTTAATTTTTGCTTTCCTTTGTTCGTTGGTGGGTGTCAATTTGATCCTACGTATGGTTTTTATTTACCATTTTTCCCTTTAACAGGAGTGGAACACTTGCTTAGAGACGTAAAGGATACAACCATCAGCACTCTTGCAACAGAGGTTCGGTTTTATTAGATTTTCATTTAGCATTTTTGCTTTTTATTCACTCACAAACAGACATGCATGTCTGTGAATATGGATGTGTGTGGACCGGTGTATGTTGTTGAAATGATTAGAGTTTCTTATGAGTATAACAGGCAATACAAAAAACTTAGTATCCTATCCTTGTACAGGTTACAGGGAAACTCACAGGTTTGAAGGGATTGGAAGCAAGACTTAAAGAGATTCGGGGTTATCTCGACCTTGTTATTGATGGCAAGCTCCCATTAAACCACGAGATATTGTACCACCTACAGGTCTGGCTTTGGCTTACCATATACATATTACAAGCCATAATCTGATATCTCTCCATCTTTTATGAGGTTTTGGTGCAAGTTTGATCTATATCTAACTTATGTAGCTCCACAACGAAATATGGTTCTTCTATATATTTGCCGCCTATTGACAATTTCACTGTCAAACTCGGTACTTTTTCTTATTTCACCATTCAAAATTCTTGCAGGATGTGTTCAATCTACTTCCAAATCTTAATGTTTATGATTTGGTCAAGGCCTTT